AAAGCATGAACGGGGGAGGGGCAGAGAGAGAGGGAGACACAGAATCGGAAGCAGGCTCCAGGCTCTGAGCCATCAGCCCAGAGCCCGACGCGGGGCTCGAACCCACGGACCGTGAGATCGTGACCTGGCTGAAGTCGGACGCTTAACCGACTGCGCCACCCAGGCGCCCCTATCATGATTTTAAAACATAGATGTTTTTCTACCCCTTGACTATCTAAAACATACTTTCTAAATCTCATTTAGGATTTAAGAGATGCAGTCCATTCTTAAGTTATATGTTTTCACTCAGTAAAATTCAGGCATATATTGCTGAATAATCCCGCTGGCTTATTTTCTGCAAGGATGGAATGAATATAACAAATGAGATGATTGAGCTATTTAGTATTTTATATTATGGATATTAAACATTAACAAATTTTGTTGTTTTTTTAAATGTTTGTGTCAAAAGTCCTGAAACCTCAGAGAAGTATACTAAAAACAATTTATATACACAAAAATGTAAATTTTTTCTGACATTCATTGTTTTTAACAGTTAAGATGGCTTAAAGAAAAAAAAAGTGACTGTTCTGTAATTATATTCTCTTACAGTTGAGGAAGTAGTTGTGACTTTACAGCTTATAGGTGACAAAGAGCCAACAGAGACAATGGGAGACTTGTCAGTTTGTCTTGATGGGCTGCAGTTAGAGTCTGAAGTTGTTACTAATGGTGAAACTACATGTTCAGAAAGTAAGTAATCACTTTTTATATAGGCTCTTTAATGATTCTTCTGTTAGCCACCATAGATGCTGTATGTAATTATTGCTATTCTTTTTCACCTTAAAGAAGTTATTTCTTTTTTAAAAAGAGACATTGATTATTTTAAACATTTTCCTTTTAGTGCATTGTTTCTATGAATAAAACATTTTTCTGTAAGTTGAAAAGTTGAAAATCAAAGTTGAATCACAGTTGATTCTGTGTAATGAATTGATTTGTAAACTATTTATTTTGTAGACCAATGATGATAGTTAATATGGCAAATGGTGCCATACCCTCTCCATTGCCAATGGCAGACATAGTGTGTCTGTAGTAGTATCTAGTTGAGTTTAAATTTGACTTGAAATCCTTCTTAGTACTGTATCAGCCTACCAATACAAGCTGAAATCCATTTGCCATTCCTTTTCCATTTCTGTAGGCTACATTTACAGAGGTATCTTTGTGTTACAATAATGACAAAACCAATTCATTATACGTATACCAGCATAGCTTACAATTTATGACTCACTAGTTTTTGTTAAAGGAAATAATAAACATTAACTAATTGAAAGAAGTTTGGCACCCGGATTAGTGCCTATATAGCTAGCATGCTTAATGAAAGTACTTCTTAGTGGATTCCTTTTAGATTTTTCCATTACTTACAAATGTGCTAAGCAAATTCTCACTTGAAATGTCAATTTAAGAATCCCCAAGACGGGGCGCCTGGGTGGCGCAGTCGGTTAAGCGTCCGACTTCAGCCAGGTCACGATCTCACGGTCCATGAGTTCGAGCTCCGCGTCGGGCTCTGGGCTGATGGCTCGGAGCCTGGAGCCTGTTTCCGATTCTGTGTCTCCCTCTCTCTCTGCCCCTCCCCCGTTCATGCTCTGTCTCTCTCTGTCCCCCCAAAAAATAAATAAACGTTGAAAAAAAAAAAAAAAAGAATCCCCAAGACAAAGAGCAGATTAGTAGTTTTCTTGATTAGTCTGACAAAGTTCTTTTTGTTTACTTAGAAACTACATTATAAAACATTTTGCAGTCGTCAGATGCTATTCTTCTGTTTCTGCTTTGGAAGACTTCCTACTTCCTCTTTAACTCATGATCTTTTTTAATAGCAGGACCTTCAACACAGTCCTGGTGTATCTTCCAGATTGTTTCTTTGAGGTTAGTGAGGGTGGAGAGAAATTTCTGAAATGGTCATACTGCTTCAGAGTTGACAAGTTCATTTTAATTGACTGCTATTCATAGGAACTCTGTAATAGTCAAATTTTTCCATAAATTGAAATACTAGAAAATAATACACAAGTTAAATTTCATTTTTATATTGCTCTACACTCTCTTAAGCAGCATTTATAGCTGCTTAAGTTTTTTACCCCCTACAAGTTGAAACTGTTACCAATGAAAAATACTTAATAATTAACAAAGCATATCCATTTTCATATTTTAAAGTAGAATCTAAATTGTATATTTATACTTACAACTTTATTGTTTATTGCCCACAAAAGTGAATATTTCTATGTTACCAGTTTTCCACTCAGGTAAGAAAATAATTGATAGAATTTAACATAATTATTTGAAGTAGAGATTTTAATTGGAAAGTCACACTGTATTTTAGGATTGGAGTTGCCAGATAAAATAGCTGCCATTTTTTTAATGCTTGCCATGCCACTATGGTGATGTGTTTACATATATACTCATTTAACCATCGTAGCTTTAGTAAGGCACAACCTGCATTTTGCATATAAGGAAATTGAGACTCTGATAATTGAAATAATAAGTTCAGTATCACACCAATTAGTATGATGCAGAGTCAAGATTGAAATACAAATATCTGTTGATGTTTCCTATTCTTTCCAGTTGATTCACACTTAGAAACCGAGAAACTTTGAATCAAGTCATGAGTTGTAAGCGGACAAAATCTGGTCTAGTTCACAAGCATGCATGATGGGAACTACACTTAGATTGTTCTTTGGTTCCATTTCTGTAACTTTAATTATAAACCAGAAATGAAAATAAGAGTTTACCACTAAAATTGAATTTCTAGCACCTGGCATAGGTTGGTTGGCTAAGAACTGGGGAGGTAGGGGGGGTGAGGGGGATTACTTTTGTATTCGAATAATTTTCTACTGTTAAAGATTTTTAGATTATTTTTTTCCCCTGAGAATGTTAGAGGTTGTGTTTTGTTTTAAAAAAATTTTTTAAGATTTTGTTCTTAAGTAATCTCTATACCCAACGTGGGGCTCAAACTTACAACCCCAAGATCACACATGTTCTACTTACTGAGCCAGCCGGGCATCCCAGTCAAGTTTTTTTGTGGAAGAACATGTAGAATGGTTCTTAGAAGAAATTTGTTCTTGTAGACTTAAATATTTTTGGTTAATTTTTAAATAATGTTTATGAAAAGAAATCACTGAATTTTAGTATTCAAAGTCACCAAATAATAGCTTGCTATAAATGTAGATTTAGTGGGAATGTTGGATTTTCCTGATGAGACAGTATTATCTCTTTGGGTACTTAGAAATTTTTGGCTCATTGTTTTTGGTGGATAATTTTTTTTTAAATGACAGTTAAATAAATAAACCTTTTTCAAGTGAAACAAAATTTACTCAACGTGTTTGTTTTTTCTTCATGCTTATCTTCAGGCTTTATTTGAAAACTAGAGAGCTTTATATCCTCACCCCACCTTCCCAACCCCATGCTGGCTCAGAGAACAAGTTTAATATGCAACTGAGCATCTTAGTTGTAGTTGTCACATTTTCTTTGATATTCTTTCTTCTCTGATTTAGAAAGTAACTTCATAATTTGTCCTGGTGTTTTCCTCTCTTTAAGTACAGAGTTGCCTTTTATGAATCTCTAGGAAGAATCCTTTATTTAATTAGTTACACAGATTTACTGCTTTAGCACTCAGATCTAAAGTCAGTCAACAAATTGAGTGTCAGCAGTTCATATCTGCAAGAACTTCCCATTCATCTGTTTTTACCTCTTGGGCTGCTGGTAGTGGTAGATCATTAGTTTAATACCTGTCTTCCTAAATATGACCTCCAGTAGGAAACACTGAAAAGCATTACTGTCAAAGACATTTTTCCTAAAGACAAATAAAAATCTATTTTACTTTTAAATTCATGATTATAAAGTAAGAACATATTCTTATAAAGATCTTTATTCTTTACCATGCATACTCTGGATGTATTTAAAATTAATTTGGAGATAGGTTTTGGCGTATGTGACCTTTGGTTCTTAATATGTATGTTCCATTCCATTTTGACTGTATCTCATTCTTTCTTTCATTTGACTCTAGTTTTTGTGGTTCCTTTTAATTTTAATGTAAATCGCCATTTTATATGAATGTATCTATAATGTTTTCTTATCAGTATAATAAACTCTAAGAAACTAGCTTAAATTTTTTGCTTTACCAAATATTACTTGAAATTACTGATCTCAACTGGATCTGGGTACCAACTAATTATTTTATGGAGATAAACTTATTTGAAATTTTTTTTTTTTTTCAACGTTTATTTATTTTTGGGACAGAGAGAGTCAGAGCATGAATGGGCGAGGGGCAGAGAGAGAGGGAGACACAGAATCGGAAACAGGCTCCAGGCTCCGAGCCATCAGCCCAGAGCCCGACGCGGGGCTCGAACCCACGGACCGTGAGATCGTGACCTGGTTGAAGTCGGACGCTTAACCGACTGCGCCACCCAGGCGCCCCGAGATAAACTTATTTGACTTATCTTTGAATGTTTTTGTATATATGTTCAAATATTAACTAGTTTACCCTCCTCAAAAAGCCAGGAAAACTTTATTTCCACTAGTTCTACTTTAAAAATCCAAATATTAAGGCTGTAATATAGTCATTATTGGTTTAGAGTAAGACTTTGCTGAATTCTTCATCCATTTATACAATTTACAAAGCATTTTGACTTATATTCTCATATATATTACATATATTCTTATATTTAACATGTGTAATACATAAACCAGCATAAATTATTCACCCATAACTGCCACACACCTTAGAAATTAGAGCATTAACAATCATTATATCCTCCTGTATTTTCCTCCCTAGAAATCTGTATTTTTCCCCTACAGATAATCACTACTCTAAATTTTGAATTTATCATTTCCTTGCTTAAACATTTTTTTTATCACCTGTGCATGTCCCTAAGCAGTCTATTACTTGCACTTTTTCTTGAGCTCTATGAAAATAGATTTTTGCCTTTTAAAATTTATCCATAGTACTTCTCTGTAATTCATTTATTTTTGTTGCTATATGATAATCTGTTAGGTGAATATACCACAGTTTATCCATTTTTATGTCAAAAGACAGTCTGATTTCTTTCCAGGTTTTGCCACTAAGAACATACAGTCATAATTGAATATTTTTGCGTTTAGTCATTTATATGTCTCCTGGTACAGTTTGAAGAGTCTATGTGGGATATATACTTGAGAATGGAATTTCTCCTATATATTGATATGTGCACTTTCAGTTTTACAACATTTATTGTTTCTCAAATATGTCCCTTTTTTGTTGTGATTCTTTTGAGGTACAATTTACATAACATACAACTAACCTTATAAAGTATACAATTCAGTGGCATTTAGTATATACATAATGATAGTATCTACCACCTCTGATTTCAAAACATTTTCATCACCTCAGAAAAACAAACCATTGTCCATTATATAATCACTCCCCATTCCCCACCCCCAACCCTTGGTAATCTCTAATATGCTTTTTGCCTTTAGGGATTTGCCTATTCTGGATATATCATAAAAAAGGAATCATATAGTACATGACCTTTTGTGTCTGGATTCTTGGCATATTGTTTTTGAGGTTTATCAAAGTTGAAGTATGTATCAGTACTTCCTTTTTTGTGGCTGAATAACATTCCACTGTATGATTCTGCCACAGTTTGTTTATGCATTCATCTACTGGTGGACACATGACTTACTTTCCCACCTTTTGGTTATTAATGAATCATAAATAATGCTGCTACAAACATTTGTGTGCAAGTTTCTTTGTGCACATGTTTTTAATTTATCTTGGGTATATTCCTAGGAATGCAATTGCTGGAGCTTATTTGATAATTTCTTGTTTTTTCTTGTTCGTTTTCTTTTGATAAGTTTTTTTAATATTCCCCATTTGAAAATTTCAATATCAAACAAAAAAGGAAAATTCCAATATCAGAGATCTTTGGGGATATATTTTTATTTTTTATTTTTATTTAAAAAAATTTTTTAATGTTTATTTATTTTTGAGAGAGAGACACACATATAGAGCGTGAGCAGGGAAGAGGCAAAGAGATGAAGACACAGAATCCAAAGCTGACTCCAGGCTCTGAGCTGTCAGCAGAGAGCCTGATGTGGAAAATGAATCCACAAGCCGTGAGATTATGACCTGAGCCAAAGTCGGATGCTTCGCTGACTGAGCCACCCAGAAGCCCCCGGGGATATATTTTTATGTCTGTCCTTCATTGAGACTTGTTTTCTTATGTGTTTGCTGCTCTTTGATTGCCAGTTTATTTTTAATCATAGTCTGTGGGAATTTTAGGGGCCTAAATTGGGGATTAATTGTCTAAGAGAAAGTTTCTTTTGCTTCTGCTAGTGTAGGGTGTGCCACATACCTAGAAACACCTCATCTCCTTTCAAGTCCCTAGCCTAATGTGGCTATCTCTGGTTTAGTTCTTTCACTTGGTGCTAACCCAAGCCTTCTTTTCTGATTCATCTCAGAGCTGATAATAGCCATCAGGATAACCTTTTTTTTTTTTTTTCCAAATTTGCTTACTTCACCTTGTTCCTGCTCTAGTATCAGTTCACTTGTTTGTTTTGCTTTCAGATTGCTAGGCACCAGGAAATAGAACAGTGTGTTAAATTGCTTCATCTACCAGTTAGTTATTTTATGGCAGGGAACCCCTTTTGAGTAGTTCACTGAATAGAAGAGATCTTTGTAGATCTTCCAAAGTGTCCTATGGGTAAAATGTGTGCATTTAGAAATCTGATCATTTTTTCTTGCGGAAATTGGCAGTAGGAATACTTCTAAAGAACAATACATTTATAAAATGCAAACTTTAAGATCACTGTTCTCTTCTTGGACATTCATTGTATAAGTATCAGATATTTTGTGCCTTTTTTAAAAACTATTCTCTGGAAGCACAGAATTAGGTCTGTATAATTTATGCCATTGAGGCACCTGGGTGGCTCAGTTGGTTACGTGTCCAATTTCAGCTCAGGTCATGATCTCTCAGTTTGTGAGTTTGAGCCCCATGTTGGACTCTGTGCTGACAGCTCAGAACCTGGAGCCTGCTTCAGATTCCATGTCTCCCTCTCTCTCTGCCCCTCCCCCACTCTCTGTCTCTCTCCCTCTCTCAAAAAATGAATAAACATTTAAAAAAATTTCAGTTATGACCTCACCTCTGTATTGAGTGGATGAAAATGGCCTTTGTACTTCTAAATGAAATGTAATTTTGAGAAACAGTAATAGCTAATATTTATGGAGTGCTTATGTGCTGGGCACTGTTCTAAATCTTTATGTGTAATCCTCACAACTATTCTGTGAAGTAGGTATCATTATTGTCCCCGTTTTATAAGTGGTAAAAGGCACAGGAAAGGCAAGTGTACTTTTCTGAAGTCACAATGTTAGTACATGATGAAGCTACAATATAAAGTCAGGCAGTTTGGCCTCAGAGTCTGTGATTAAATACTGTGCTTTTTGTAATAAATGAAAAAGTTTAGAAGTGTCACTTATTGGTAGATTTAAATGGAATGTTCCAGGGGCGCCTGGGTGGCACAGTCGGTTAAGCGTCCGACTTCAGCCAGGTCACAATCTCACGGTCCGTGAGTTTGAGCCCCGCGTCAGGTTCTGGGCTGATGGCTCAGAGCCTGGAGCCTGTTTCCGATCCTGTGTCTCCCTCTCTCTCTGCCCCTCCCCCGTTCATGCTCTGTCTCTCTCTGTCCCAAAAATAAATAAACGTTGAAAAAAAAAATTCTTTAAATGGAATGTTCCAGATTTTTTTTTTAAGTTTATTTATTTATTTATTTTGAGAGAGACCATGAGAGCGTGAGCATGTGCATGCTGGGCAGGAGAGATGGAGAATCCCAAGCAGGCTTTGTGCTGTCAGCACAGAGCCCAGTGCAGGGCTCGATTTCACAAACCATGGTATCATGACCTGAGCCCAAACCAAGAGTTGGATACTTAACCAACTGAGCCACTCTGATGCACTGGTTTTCTTAATTTTTGAGAAAAGTGGGATACTAATTGATTAATTTTAGTAACTTGTGCTGGATTTTTAAATTTCATTTCCTGATTTCATTTATGTCTCATCAGCTATTTGAGGCAATATATTCCATATAAAAATAATTCTTGTAGGGGCTCCTGGGTAGCTCAGCCAGTTAAGCGTCTGACTTTGGCTCAGGTCATGATCTCATGGTTAGTGGAATTGAGCCCCGCATCAGGCCCTGTGCTGACAGCTCAGGGTCTGGAGCCTGCTTCATATTCTGTCTCCTGGTCTCTCAGCCCCTTCCCTGCTCACGCTCTGTCACGCTCTCTCACGCTCTCTCACGCTCTCTCTCTCTCTCTCTTTTTCTCTCTCTCTTTTGTTTCTTTCTCTCTCTCCCAAAATAAATAAACATTAAAAAATTAAAAATTCTTGTAAAACTGAAATGTACTCTTTTCAGGGGTGCCTGTGTGGCTGTCAGTTAAACGTTCGACTCTTGATTTCAGCTCAGGTCATGTTCAGCCTAGGTCATGATCTCACAGTTGGTGGGATTGAGCCCCACAAGTCAGGCTCTGCACTGATAGCATGGAACCTGCTTGGGATTCTTTCTCTACCCCTTCCCCACTTATGCTCTTTCTCTCTTTCAAAAATAAACATTAAAAAAATTTTTTTAGGGACTCCTGGGTGGCTCAGTCAGCTAAGTGGCCAACTTTGGCTCAGGTCATGATCTCACAGCTCATGGGTTTGAGCCATTTTTAACAGCTTTATTGAGATTTATGTTTCATAAAATTCACTCATTGCAAATATCCAGTTTAATAATTCTTAGTAATTTAACTGAGTGACCCAACCATTACTGTAAATCAGGATTAGAACATTTTCATCCCCCTGGTAAGATCCTCTTATTTACAGGAAATTCTGTTCCCACCTCTAGCCCTAGGCAACCACTAATCTATTTTGTTTCCAAAAATTTGTGTTTTCTGGACATTTCATATAAATGGGAATGGTACAATGTGTGTGGTCTTTTGTGTCAGACTTCTTTTACTTATTAGCACAGGGTTTTTCGGGTTCATCCACGACATAGCATGATTCAATTATTTGTTCCTTTTTATTACTGATAGTTTTCCATTGCATACGTATACCATATTGTCTGGTTATCCACTTGTACTTTCTTATTTTTGGTAAGCTTTTTGTTTTAATTGAAGGATTGTTGACACACAAAGTTACATTAGTTTCAGGTGTACAACCTATTGATTGGACAAATCTGTTTATTATGCTGTGCTCACTGCAAGTATAGCTACAGTCGGTCACCAAACAACACTATTAAAATATTATTGACTATATTCCTTATGCTGTACCTTTTATACCCCCTACTTTTTTTAATGTAATATTTTTAGACAAGATGATATTCCTGGCAACCTTGCGGAGTATGGTATAGTGTAGTGGTGATTCAGCATTTTTTAAATGAAATTAATCTATTAATTATGGTTTGGAGTAATGTAGTGATGATTTCACTGTTTAAAACTATGTATTTGGGGACTTAAAAGAAATTTTTTTTTACATTTATTTATTTTTGAGAAACAGTGAGACAAAGTGTGAGTGGGGGAGGGGCAGAGAGAGGAGACAGAATCTGAAGCAGGCTCCAGGCTCTGAGCAAGCTGTCAGCACAGAGCCTGATGTGGAGCTCGAACCCATGAACTGTGAGATCATGAACTGAGCTGAAGTCGGACGCTCAACTGACTGAGCCACCCAGGCGCCCCAGGGCCTTTTTTTTTTTAATGTTTATTTTTGAGAGACAGAGAGGGAGAGAGAGAGACAGAGCACGAGTGGGGGAAGGGCAGAGAGAGAGGGAGACACAGAAGCAGGCTCCGGGCTTTGAGCTGTCAACACAGAGCCCAATGTAGGGCTTGAACCCATGAACCATGAGATCATGACCTGAGCTAAAGTCAGATGCTTAACTGACTGAGCCACCCAGACGCCCTAGGGACTATTTATTATTCTTTAACTAACTTAAAATAGACTGATAAACTTGAGTTCTTGTTTCTGCATTTTACAGTATTTCCTTCTCTGTCTGTTATTTTTGCTGCAATCAGTGTGCCTACCGTCTAATGTTTTTATAGTGCACAGACCCTTACTGAATCCTCAGGTTATTTTGCATGAATGAAATTTGAAGAAAGTGTGAAATTTGTGGCATTAATTTGCCACTTGAGATTAGTTGGTACCTTTCCTTTTCTTGAAGTTATTTGCCAGGCCCTTGCATAAGAGAGATGTTACTGGTTTTTCTGTTTTCAGAATCTGTTTTATTCCTTATCCTGCTGGTTATCAGTATTTTGTGTGAGGTATTTGGAATATAAAAGATGGCTAAAATATTAGATTTGAATTAGAACCAAGCAAATACATATTTTAAAAGGCAGAAGTAGGACATCAGTAATAATACCTTGACTAATTAGCATCTCCTAGACCTAAAAAGCATTTGTGCAAAATTTTGGTAAACATTTTTTAATTTCAATCATATGAACATTTTATCACATTTTTCCTTTAAATATCATGTTGGAATTTAAGTTATAGTGTGTTCTACAAGATTTAATAAAATGCTTTGCCTGTTTAGGAAAAAGGTGAAAATCACTTTTTGAAACTCATTTTCTGTGTAAATTTTATTGATGTTCAAGGTGCTTCACAGAATGATGATGGCTCTAGACCGAAGGATGAAGCAAGGTAAGATTTCACTTGTTCACCAAAGAATATAAGAAGAGACCAGGGAGAATAAATAACCATTTTAGTCAGAACTTTAGTTTGACTAAAGCAAAAGTTTAGACTGATACAAGAATAAAGAAATGTCAGAAAATTTAGGGTTCACAAAAGTCCATCGACGGATGAATGGATAAAGAAGATGTGGTATATATATACAATGGAGTGTTACTCGGCAACCAAAAAGAATGAAATCTTGCCATTTGCAACTACGTGGATGGAACTAGAGGGTATTTATACGAAGCGAAATTAGTCAGAGAAAGATGAATATCCTATAACATCACTCATATGAGGACTTTAAGACACAGAACACATGAACACAAGGGAAGGGAAGCAATATAAAAACAGGGAGGGGGACAAAACAGAAGAGACTCTTAAATATGGAGAACAAACAGAGGGTTACTGGAGGGGTTGTGGGAGGGGGGTGGGCTAAATGGGTAAGGGGCACTAAGGAATCTACTGAAATCATTGTTGCACTATATGCTAACTAATTTGGATGTAAATTTAAAAAAAAATTCAGGACTCAGTGGCACCTGGCTGGCTCAGTTGGTGGAGCATACAACTCTTGATCGTGGGGTTGTGAGTTTGAGCCCATGTTGGGTATAGAGATTACTTAGATAATAAAATCTTTAAAAAGAAATTTAGGGCTCAAGGTAAGAAAGGAAATATTTATGAATGTTTCAAAATACTTAGCTTATTTGACTGCAGTTCTTTGGAGTAGCCCAGGGATACCCAAATTGCTAATATTTCCTTCAGCTTGTTGAAAGTGAATATATTTGCACTTTTTCAAAGGCAAGGAGTTCAGAATCCCAGGGCCATCACTGGACTGTTAAATTTTTTTTTCTAGAAAAGCTGGGTTATAAGCTTTGGGTATATGGGAAGGTCGTCACCATCTATGGTATCTTCTGAGCCTTTGTTGAAAGGAGCAGTGATTTGTACCAGTTGTTCACTCTAACCCTAGATTCAGCACTTTTTGTTTTTAAGTTTATTTATTTCTTTTAGTTATCTCTATACCCAGTGTGGGGCTCAGACTCACAACCCTGAGATCAAGAGTCGTATACTCTTCTGACTGAGGCAGCCAGGTGCCAGTGGATTCACCACTTTCATGGGCTTATCTGCCTTGACATCTAGGGCCTAAAAAGTGTTGAATGCCTTGAGTGTTAACTGATTTAAACATTTAGGTGTTTAGTGTTATGCTAGAAAACTGATAATGGGAGATAAATTTAGAAAAGGAGATGTTCCTAGTCTTAAGGCAGTAAGTAACATATCTTAGAGAGTTACAAAATCCCATTGGATTCCTCCTTTTTCCCAAACTGAGTAAACAGTGGGTAGGAAGATGATGAACCACAGAAGTAATGATCAGAAGAGGAGAAGTGTAGAAGTATCACAGAACATAAGGGAAAATACCCTTAAAGATGGGGTATTAACATGTTAGGTGGTGGCAGGAGAGGAGAGGTGGAGCAAGTAGAACAAAATGTTAATGGTTGTTGAAACTGAGTTGATAGGGAATTTGAGCTACTAGTTTGTCTACTTTTGTGATTTATGGGAAATTTTATAATAACGTTAAAAAAAGACAACTTACCAAGATCTTTGGGAAAATTAAAGTGTGTCAAGCTATTCTCTTTTATCTAATAGAGATCTCCTTTCAGAGTCACTCCTGTGACAAAAACTCATCTCTTATGCTAATCTCTGAAGAGGTGGAATATTAAGGACTAGTAACATCTTGTCCACGGAATAATAACTGCTTTTATTTCTCAGTGTGATTAAAAAGCAATAGAAAAGAAATATACATATCTCTGTAGACGGGGAGACAACTCTAGCCTCTTGTGCTTCCCCTCAGTTTTATGTTTAATTAGAGTTTTGAATTCCTGAAATTTTCTCCATAATGTTTTAATATTTCAGTTTGTGTTCATCAGGTAACTCCTATTTTATATAATAAACCCATATTTTTCCATTAATAAGTGAGAATGTCATAGAATTTTGTATGCTCATTGAAAGGTTCAGTTAAGGGGTGCCTGGGTGGCTCAGTTGGCTGACTCTTGATTTCAGCTCAGGTCATGATCTCACGGTTTATGGGATCAAATCCTGCCTTGTTGCGCTCCATGCTGACAGTATTGAACCTGTTTGGGATTTTCTCTCCCTCTCTCTCTTCTCTCCCTCTCTTCTCTCCCTCTCTCCCCTCCCTCTCTCCCTTCCTTTCCCTCCCTCCCTCTCTCTCTTGCTCTCTCAAAATAAATACAATTTAAAAACAAGAAAGGTTCATTTAAGTCACTCTTTCTTTTTACAAATCTCATTATTTTTAATTTTTCTATTTTTTTTTTAAAGTACTTTCTATACCCAACGTGGGGCTCAAACTTAGAATCCCAAGATCAAGAGTCGCATGCTCTACTGACTGAGCTAGCTAGTTACTCCTACAAGTCTCATTCTTAAAGTGCTTTATGAAACGACTCTAGTCAGCTGTAAATGTCTTACAAAGGCATTCCTGGAACCCTAGCTTCATGCCATTTATTTAATCAATGCTTCTACCCAAGTGAAGTAGTAATCTGAGGAATAGTGTCTTTTAGGTTTCTGAGACTGCCAGAATAATCTTTAAGCATGTCTTTTGTGTTAAGTATGAATTCCTTTATGTTAGCTTTTACTCCAGAGAGTGTATCTCTGAGATGATGGGTTTGAAAAGCATTTTGTAAACTGTCAAATGCTGTTAAATGTTACTACACAATGATCATGGCCATGACTGGCTTTTTCCCTTTGCTTTTATTTGCTTACTTCATAACTATAAGACTAAAAAGCAGGGCAGTATATACCCAGTGAACAAGGGTTTTGTGCCCCTCCCCTCCAATTTCTTGCCCAGTTATCATTTAGGAAGATACTAAACAACTTTAGGTTACATTACCTTTTTGTCCTAATTCAGGCCCTATTGTATACTGTGAATATAGTCTTGTTAGTCTGCTTTCCTCTGTAGCATGCCTGGATGTCCTATGTTATTCAACATTGTCTTCTGTCATTTTTATGAAGTTCAAGATGATTGGCACCTAGTATTTAAGATTTTGTTGTTAGAAGTACTTTATTGGCCGTTAGGACCTTACTGTATTAGCATCTTGGTTCTCCAGGGTTCTTTATCCTGTCCATAAACATCTGGGCTTATGTATAAGTTAGATATATATGCATGGTGAGATAAGCAGAGGTTTATAAGAATGTGGAGCAGAGGAACAAAGCCATAGTAGCATGTAATTAGTAGCTAATTCCTTTTAAAGATAATGGAGGTGGTGAGTTCACACTGACAATTCTATACAGTGTATAGGTTTCCACGTTTTCTTTTTTTTTTTTTTTTTTCAACGTTTATTTATTTTGGGAAGAAGAGCAGACATAACGTGTTGCAGGGCAGAGAGAGGGAGAACAGAACGGAAACAGGCTCCAGGCTCTGAGCCATCAGCCATGAGCCCGATCGGCGGGGCTCGAACTCAATGCTGAATCGCGACGACCCTGGCCGGAAGTCGGACGCTTAACCGACTGCGCCACCCAGGCGCCCCATAGGTTTCCACGTTTTCAAAATCCATTTCAAGTTTTAGTTTCACACCCATTTACTAAAAGAACTAAAATAAACCACCAGTGCTCTTTTAGTATGGCTATGTTTCTCAAACTTCAGAGTGTATCAGAATCACTTGGAAGACTTGTTCAACCACAGATTACGGTCTTATCTCCAGTTCCCAATTTGTTAGGTCTACGTTTGGGCCTACGATTTGCACTTCTCAGAAGTTTCCAGGTGATGCCTATAGTGTTAGACCACGCCATACACTTTGAGAAACACTATGGTTAGACTTACAGGTATTTCTTAGATTACAACAAACTGTTTTGGGAAATTTTTTCAGTTATGTAATGAAGTCTATTTCTTGAAAATCTAGGCTTACAGAATTGTCATTCTGCCTTAATCTCATGCTCTTTTACTTCAGAACTAGTTTGAATTTTGTTTCTTCTCGAACTGTTTTTATTACTAGAAAATAATACATGATGGTTTTAAAAAATGTAAATCAGGGGGCGCCTGGGTGGCTCATTCAGTTGAGCATCCGACTTCAGCTCAGGTCATGATCTCACAGTCTGTGAGTTCGAGCCCCGCGTCGGGCTCTGTGCTGATAGCTCAGAGCCTGGAGCCTGCTTCGGATTCTGTGTCTCCCTCTCTCTCTGCCCCTCCCCTGCTCATGCTCTGTCTCTCTCTGTCTCAAAAATAAATAAAATTTTTAAAAAATGTAAATCAGTATATAAACCAAAATTATATAAGCTTCATGGAAGAAATAGCATTTGACCTAAGACCATAAAGCATAGTTGTAATTTGGTTTTGCATGCCTTGGGAAATTGGACAGGGGAAGGGGTTCTAGGTGGAAGGAAGAAAAACAGTTATAGAGATGGGGAACAACATAGGGTGTGTTGTTAGAAATCTTCACTCACAGTGTCTAGCTAAAAATAGGGTAATTGAAAGGGGAAAATGGTAGGTGGTGAATTTGAGAGTAGAATCCATTAGTTAATATTTGTTATCTCTTCTATGTCAGGCAGTATGAGCATGTTTCCTGTCATTTCACTTAATCTTAAACACTTTTGTGAGGTAGGTAGGTATGGATCATTTTTATGGGTGATAAGAAAACTAAGCCTAAGAAAGGGAAAGGAACTTGCCTGAGTTAATAGTGTAGTGGCACAGTTGAACCTGCAATTGCCTTACCTTCAGAGCCTGAACTCATAATTGTCATGCTTTACTGCGACCTAAAGTGTTAGTTATTTTTAGTGTTACATAGGTTGGGGCCAGATGGAGGTTTTGGTTTGTAAATATAGGTATCCCTCATTTTGTGCTTTGCAGATATTTTGATTTTTTTTTTTTTAAACTAAAGGTTTGTGGGAACCCTGCATTGAGCAAATCTGTCAGTGCCATTATTTTTTTTTTTAATTTTTTTTTAGGGTTTGTTTATTTTTGAGACAGA